TTCAAGTGTAGTGATAGCTCTTAGAAATCGTGTTACTATCAATTATCTTCCTGGCTTCCTGAATCCTCTGTGCAATGATTTCTCCACAGTGTTTTCCAGATGTGTGTGTGGTGTGCCATACCCCTGCCGTCCTATCTCAGCAATGCCATAAACCTGCACAAGTGTCCCAGCAAGGTTTCCTGGGACAGCTTCGAACTGACTTTCATGGCTGGCTGGGAATCTCGCACTGCGGGCGGGAGAGCTTGCCAAGTACCACGGACAGATCACAGCGTGTGGCGATCCTGACCCACAATTCTGATGGAGAGCAGAGTATGCTGCACACAGAGGAGAGCTGGGACATCCAAAGAACCGTACCGCTAAACAGGCAAAGACAAGACAGTATCCTTAACCCCAGTCCTGCCAGCGCACCTCGGACCACAAGTGCTCCTTTGCTTTCACGCAAATCTAGTAGTTTCCAAAAAATGAACTGGCGAATTTGGCCCTGCCCCTCCTTAAATGACCCCGCCTTTTCTACTTGTGTGTACTCACCCCTCTTCCTGCTCCTTGGAATATCTTACTTTTACAACAAAGGGGTTCCTCATTGCGCAATTAAAAGCTACCATGCCAGTTTCCTCAAAATTTAATAGCTGGCCTAAAAAGACTTTTTTCCTTCTTTGACCTTAACGGTTTTTGGTGAATCAAATTAGAGACACAAGGACTGCTTTCCTTTAAAATCCTAGCTAAAAGATATATTTTTTTATTGATACACTGGTTAAAGAAAATGCTTTTTTCACCAGACAAATCGTGCTTTATGTAAAGCTAATTCTAAGAAACGTGTCAAAATTTTTCAGCCTGAGAACTTGGACAAGGGGCTGTTCAACAAAGAAGAACAATGTGTAACTGTCTCACGTACCCACCAACTCCCCCGTTGAGTATGGGGTAAGTCAGTTCTAGGTACAGCTGCTCATTTGTTAATTGAAAGTGACTCTGAAGACATGTGCCATATGTATTACTGAGCAACAAAACATCAACTAAGCATTTATTTTTCTTTTCTTTTTTTGTTTTGTTTTGGTTTTTTGGGACAGGGTCTTGCTATGAAGTCAATGCTGTTCAAGCTGGCCTTGAATTCACTACACAGCCCAGGCTAACCCTGAACTCAGTGCTCCTCCTGGCTCGGCCTCTGGAATGCTGGGAAAACAGGCTTGTGCTGCCTCCCCAGCTCTTATTTTTTAGCTATCATTTTGCTGTGGGGCTCAGCCCAGTGGCTCTGCCTTTTGGGACATGCAGTGCAGAGGTGGCAGCTGGCTGGCCTTGGCCCTGGAGCTTGAGTTGAGGCGCTGGAACAGGTGGCAAAGCCAGGCCTCTTCCCTTGCCTGCCCCATCCAAGTTCTCAACAAGGCTCAGTTGCTCACAAAATGACAGCATCAGGGAAAACAGCCGAGTACACAGAGGCTGTGCCACTGTCTCGTTTATTCTAGAGGCCAAAGCAAGTGCCAGTGGCAGTTCAGACTAAGGCTGGTTGGAAGGGCTGTAAACAATGTGTGGCTTTTTAGATCCACCATGAGATTTCAGTGCATCTCTGCCTTTGGGGAAACAGCGTGGCCTGCTCCTGCTGTATTAGGCAAATTCAGGGCAGCTGAACGCTGATTTTAACTGACCTCACATAACAGCTGCCAATAACTGAGGAAAAGGAAGAAGCTGTGGGCTCTTGATTTCATCATAAATCTTTTGCAATACTTTGCTTTTAACAATGTGTATTGAGACAAAAGATTCAAGAGCTTTAAAACTATTTTAAGCCAGATGAGGCAGCACACATCTGTAACTGCAGCAGCACTCCAGGACACCGAGGCAGGAAGCTCCCAAGTCTGAACTCAGGGCTGGACAGTTTGCTAAGACTGTCACTAAATAAAAATTAGAGATAGACTGGGAGTACAGCCCAGTGCAGAGGCCCTGGGTTCAATTCCCCAGTACAGATAAGTAAGGGGAAAGCCAATCTTTGTTATCTCCAAGCATGTCCATCACTTCCCAAGGGGAGCCAGGCGGCATCTGAATGGTGAACCACACACCATCAACAGCACTCTTCTTGGAGAGGCCAGGGGAAGGACAGTGCCAGGTCAATGTAAGGAGCTTCAGAAGCCTTTTCCACAAGCCAGGGCTCCTCACCCTGTCCCTTGCCACCTTATGCCCAGGGCGTCCCACAGGGTGCAGGACACGGGCAACACCAGGCAGATGAGGCAGAAGGCCCATTCCTGCACAGCCACCCACTCAGGAGTCTGCCTTCACTTTCACACCTGTTGGTTTTTGGACATGGTCTGTGCAGCCCAGGCTGGCCTCAAACTCCTCCTCCTCTTCCAGCTGTTGCTCTCAAACAACAGATTACAGGCAGGAGCCTCCTCTGCTCCAACTCAGGGTCTAAGTTTCCCATGAGGATAAGAGAAACAATTTGAACTGGGGATGGTAGTACAAACTTGTAACCTCAGCTACTCAAAAGGTTAAGGCACCCCAGCACTTGAACTCAGTGATCCACCTACCTCAGCCTCTCAAGGACAGCTTCAATTAGGTATGGTGAGACCCTGTCTCAAAAAAAAAAAAAAAAACTATACAAGGGGCTGGGATGTAGCTCACAACTCCTGAGTTCAATCCCCAGTATCACAAAGGAATAGAAGGAAGCCATCTTCCCATGATACACACACATGAAACTGCGGGAGAAAATGCCAAGTGTGAGGCTGTCTCAGGGCAAATAGTGGTACAGGGCTGCAATCCCGCACTGGGAGGCTGGGGCAGCATTTTAAACGTAAGCCCAGTCCAGGCAACTTAGTAATTTAAGAGACCTGTCTCAAAATACTAAGCAAGCATTTTTGTACTTTAAATTTTATATAATGCATATTAACAAAAATGGGTGAAGGCATGGCTCAAGTGAAGGCTTTGGATTCAATCCTCACTACAGAACTCAAATCAAGGGCCTAGTATGTAGCAAGGTCCTTGGTTTTTATCTCTAGTACTAAAAACAAAAACCAGTTGGAACGGTCTCCACTAGACAGTGTGAAAACTCTCAACTATAAAAAAGGAAAATGCTAAGTACTTAAGTGAGATGGTTTTTAAAGCTTTGATTTTATTTTGTATTTATAGGATTGTGAAGCCTCAAGAGCCTACAGAGCACATATCAATGACACTGATCAAGTATTCTGGCAGCACCTAAGCTCAGGCTGTGCATCAATGTGAGGGTGCAACACCCGTGTCCAGGGCTCTGCCCAGGGGACCCATCAGGGGTCCTTTTTGTAGTTCTCAACTCCAAGCCAAAGGTCCTGTCGGTGGTCTCAGCACCTGACTTCATCTGCACAGAGTGGGCTGCCCAGCCTCTGCTGGCTCCAGCACCTGTGCTCAGCATCGAGTGTGTGCTGTGACACCGCACACACCAAGACACAGGGGACACCAATACTGAAAGCACAGGACAGAGATGATGTGGATTACAGCTGGGATGGTGTGGGGGGTGCTACATGGAGGGCAGCACAAAGAACAGCTCATGTTCTTAGTTTAATCAACTTGCCAGGCATGGTGGCACAATTCCTGTAATCCCAGCACTTGGGAGCCTGAGGCAGGAAGATCGCCCTAAGCTCAAGACTGGCCTGGGATACACAGTGAGACCCTGTCTAAAAGAAGTTTAATGAACTAAACACCAGCAAGAATACAACACAGAACCCCTTTAGGACACGCACTGCCCCCCCCCCTTCCTCCAGTCCACGTCTTTATCATTCCTCATGGATTCTGGGAAACAGACCAGACAAGGGACTGCAACTCCACAGGCATTTTAGTAAGTGGATTAGATGAGACAAACTGAAAGGCTTACAGCACTAGAGGGTCCACAGGGCCCAAGGACATCTTCAAACCAAACCTTAGTCCGATGCACTTTTGAAGAGCTAATCACATAATCACGATTGTCGTTTACCTAAAAGCGCTGCCAGGTGTGGCGGCCAGCAACTGAATGATCTGCCAGACTCTTAGCAGTCTGTTGTGAAATCAGGCCCAGAGTGGGGCCCACAGAGCCCCTGCCACCTGTGTCTGTCCCAGCTTCTGAGCAGCTAATACCCTAACACTGAAACTTCCCTCTCTGAAAGCTGGTCATTTGCCAAGGTGAGGAGTCAGGAACCCTGCAGAGCACTCAACACTACCTACTGTTGCTTCTAATGCAAGGTCACTGCCCTCCGCTGAAACCTTGGGAAAAAGAATGAAGCATGAAGCCAAGTGTGAAAATACGGTGAATATGTAACTCCTAATGGGAGTCATGCTCAGGACAACCAGTAAGAGATGATCCTGGTAGCCTGCCGAACGAGATCTGCAAGCTCAAACCCAAAAGGCACAACTAACAAGACTGTGTCTCAAAAAATAAAAAAAGGGATGGCGCTAAGTGCCAAGGCCCAGGGTCCGATCCCCAGTACCAAAATCAACCAATTACAAACCTTGAAATGCTTTGTTTAGTAAACACTAAATGTAACCCAGCTTCCCTTCAACACATCTTTCCCCAGTTACAAATCAAAATTGAGTAAGCACAGGCTTGCTATTAAGAAGGGAGTGTGCACGTGCTAACTGCTGAGAGGCTGGCCCCAGGCCTGTGATCTCAGCTACCAGGGCAGCTACAGAAGGGTTTTGAGTTTGAGCTTGGCCTGGTTAATATAATGAAAATCCACTAAAGAAAATAAACAGGCTGTGTGGCACTCACTTGTAATCCCACACTCAAGAGGCTGAGGCAGGAGGACCAGTTTGGGCCACATAATATATAAATTCAAGGTCAGCCAAACAAGAATCCAACGAAGCTGTTAACGGGATCAGAGATTTGGAAGTTAACATGCTGTAAAATGCATAAACTGTTGTCTTACCTGTCTATACTTCCAAAATACAGGCTGTGGACTCACACCGGCCCACAGTGGGACGCTCGGGGGAATAACCTTAGATATCACAGATACCTGCAATTCCACAAACACTTGGCCTCCTTGATACTTAAAACAATAAAAAACAAGGCACCGTGCTTTTCACAACTTTATTTCAACATAACTATGCTTACAGAAATACACTCATATTGGTTAAAAGAATGCAATTTAACTTATCCTATACAATTTCAACCAAAAAACTGGTACATGGTTTAAGATTTTAAAAAGGATTTGCAATCTGATTTTTATCTAGTACAAATGTATAAAAGATCCTCCATCAAATGATGCTAAAGGCAGCAAAAACCTTGAGAAATATACCTTTGGTTTGCCTCAGAAAAGTTACAAGTATTGCACTGTAAAGTTTATAAAATTGGTGCAACAAAACATTGTTGTAATGTTACAATGCCAGTTTACAAAGTTCAGTAACTACTGGATGTGGAAGGGGGTGGGAATGAGTCTATGTACACACATGGAACTGTAAAAGCTATCTGCTTTACTAATATTGCAGCATGTAGATTGTAAATCTACAAACCAAGATTCAGATAATTTCTTAAATCTGAACAATTAACACTATCAGCTCACTTCATCTGCGGAGGCCAGTAAGAGACCTCGGCACATTTAGCTTCTGAAATTGTTCTGGTCTATGTAAAGAAAACTAAATTTCTTTGCCAGCTTTCCAGTCCACACGTGAGAATACACTACAGACAAAGTATTCCTTCCATTGTCAACATTCGTCGGGTGACACTAGATGAGGTCAGCTTGGGTTTTAATTTATATCGGCACTCATATGCAAACACCCTAAAGTTCATGAACATATATGACTTTAGAAGTGACTCTAAAATTAAAATGGCCCTTCTTGGAAGACTGGAACAAAAGATCAGCCACAGCTGCAAGAAGCCTTATCAAAATTTAAGTCTTAACAACAACAAAAAAGGTAGCCCCCAAATAAGAAGCAGCTCGAAAGAGGAAAAAAAAATATAACTTAAAATATGTTGAAAATCGATGTGAATATAGGTTCAAAAAATAAGAGATACATTTTCATAAAACTACCTAGGATTAGGCTTATAATATATTCTCTAGTATTTCAAGTTTATCACTAGTCACTAAACATCAATTTACAAACTGCATTTTCATTTTCTGTTCTTTTATCAAAAGTGAAATTCTAGCTTCAATTCTACTAGAGGAAGGACTAGAAAATTAAAAATTCAAACAGTTCCTCGCAAACATATTTTGCAAATGGAAGAACTCCCAACTGGACCAGAAGTTCTGATTACTAATATACTTTTCATTGAAACCATTTTTAGTAAGTACAAACACATGGCATTAAGGTTCAGGACCTAATATAGGCCTGACAATCAAGTCCTTGTTTTCTGGAAGAAAGGCCTCAAGTCCCAATCGATTTCCAGTAACAATGTTTTTACAGATCAACTTAACATGGGGTTTTAATTTCCTTCATAGTTTTTAACACTCTAGTCTTAAAGACTAGATTAGGAATTTGTTCAATTCACCAGAAAGCAAATTTCTTTCCTTTGTACTATGAAAGAATCAGAAGACCTCTTCCCCTCACAGATTACCAGTGTCCAATCTGTGCTTAAGGTGAATCTTTTTCATATAATGTAAAAAGTTAAGTAAAATGTGCTCATGAACATTAAAACTAGTCATTAGAAAGATTTAACTAGCTTTATAATTTAAATTTTAAAACATAAATATTTGCAGCTCGATCTCCTGCTGACAATGATTGTCGGAGCCTAGAATTCAACAAGTACAAATTCCCATTCATGCACACAGAACACACACCATCATCACACAACTTACTCCTCGCGTCTTGAGACAATCTTCTGCTTCTTTAAATCTTTGGCCTCCCAGTCAATTCTGAGTTTGAACACCTTTTAACTGAAAATTTACTTTCAGATGTTTAACATCTGATGACCATACATTAATGCTTGTCCCAAACTTTCCTGGTGTGCTACCATACTCTGAAACCTTCTTCAAACAGATGCCCAGGTAAAGGAAAATAAAAGAAACATAAAGGGTTACTTTCAGAACATGGGAGGTCAAAATTCACAATACCCTCACTGGGATCGTATTTTATCTTACTGCAGGGAACAACTCCTAACAGTACAAAAAAATCCTACCTTGAAGTCTTTCACACACTTTGGCAGCTGGCCAAAGAACTTCCCAGTTTTGCAGTGCACACGCCTTTCACACACAGCACCCCACAGGGACACCAGGGCAGCTGCAGTTCACTTGAGGTCTCACCTGTAGCAAGAGGCTGTCGCACGGACAGCCAGGACACCCACTAGTGCGTGGAGATCCCTGAGCAAGTAGGACTTTAATCTGGACTGTATTTAAATTCAAAAGCCGTACTGACTGTGTTCATAGGAAGTTGCAGCTGGCTTGCCAGAATTCATACCACCTCTCGTTACAGATGCATGCTGTTAATAGCTATGGCTTTGGAGTCTCACAAGTGACTCTCTTTAAAACTTGAATTAGGTCTCCTGGTTCCAGGTTTGAAATCCCAAACATCACTTACAGCTTTTCATTCAACTGAATAGCTTCATGGACACCAATGATCCATGAAAAAAGTTTCCCTAAAGATATGATGTAACACTACAATTACAAAGTAGCTATACCAAAACAAGTCCAAAAAAAAAAAAAAAAAAACTGGTATTTGAAATAAGAATTTGTTCACTATGGAACCTAGTGGTTTATTACAAAAATCATAACAGACCTGTGAGTTTACTATATTCATTCAAAATAAATAATTTATACAATACAGATTCTGGCATAGATTAAGTGAAAATCAGAATCAACAGACTGAACCTGCATGTTTCACCTGCTCACAAACTTGCACACACTACTATTCCTGCTAAAAAGACAACTGCGGCAAAGAAAAACCTGCTGCTTTGCCAACAAGCCTAAAAGCATCCCGCCAAAGAGGCCAAAATAAACATGCATACATGTTTAAAGTGTTACTGGTCAATGCAAACGCTACTTCTAGAAAAAATTTAACTGCATAGGTTAAAGAAAAACAAAAAACAATGTGCAACATCTCAAGCCATTAAAGCACCAAAATAAAAACACACCAAAAATCACTGTTTTATGACGATTAACACACAAACGTGAAATATTGATCAAGAATCAGGAAGTAAATACCTGGACTGATACAATGTCCATTGTTGGCCAATTTTTCTTCAGTTTAAATGTCTTTTCTCATCTCTAAAGAAATCTTAAAGTGCTAACTTTATGTAAAGCAGGCAAATTCAAGTAATTTGCTCAAGCCAATTTTTATACAGCTAAACAAGGAACTAACAAGAAACTAAAGCGAAACAGAAGACTGACATGGAGAGAAAAACAGGAGTCCTAGATAGACAGAGCAACAACGCTGCTATGAATGTTATCGGCTAACAGATTCGGGTCTGCTGGTTTTAGTACACTAACCCCCTAAGGTTTTGGGGGTTCCTAAAATTCATACATCAACAAGCACACAAGTCTTAAAGAAAACAATGCTACTTAAAAAGATCAACATTGGGCACTAATTAAAGCAATCTTAAAAGTTATCACTATAAACAAATACAAATGTAATAGCTCTTACAAACTAAAAACTGTAACCTTGTCTGAAGTTTAATTACTCCTGCCCTTTAGCTGCTTTTTCAAGAAAGTATACATTAACTAAATGGCGATTGAGGTGTTTACTGTAATCTTTTTCTTTTCTAAAAGAACGATCACAGAAGATACAGACAAAATCTCCCTCAACCACTTTGACCGGCAGGGCTTCCTTTGTACTTTTTGAACCAGTTTCTTGGGGAACCGGCCGAGCCCCATGCAATCCAGAATCATCACTACCTTCTGACATGTTGTCACTTAGGTCACTTCCGTCATGACTGTGGATGCCTTCGTCTTCATCAATTTCCTGAGACTCGTTTACAGTTGCACTGGCAGAAGCCAAAGCCAGAGTGGTTTTCGACTCTGCTTCTCGTTCTTCCACCTGTGGGGACAAAAGCGCTGGCGAAGCTGGTTCTTCGACTGCTGCAGCACCGTTAGCGGGAAGCTTCTCTGTGGCACCCTCCTCTGTGACCGTTTCCATCTCACAAGGCTCATCGGCAGGCGGCTGATGCTCACCGGCTGAGGTTTCAGTCTCCAGCATGCTCAACTTTGGGACTGAAGCTGGCGCTGGCACACCAGTGGCCTCCTCGGGGACAGCTCCTCCGCCCACACTCTCCTGGGCCCCTTCGGCCTCCTCTTCCAGCAGGGGGCCTTCTCCATCTCCCGGACCTGCGCAGAGTAAGTTTCGGTCTTCTGACGCCAGCTGCTTTGGCAGTGGCGACGGCGACGACACTGCTGAGCGGTCCTGTGCGCCTGTGCTCTCCTTTAGAAGCTGACTGTCCTTCACTGGCATCAACCCAACTTCCATAAGGACCTGCTCCTTGCGGGGCACTTCCTTCTGCGTGCTGGGCTTTTCCCTCTTACTGTCTTTCCGCGGAGACTTCCTCGGCACTGGCTCCATCTGAAGGGGGGGCTGCCCCCGAGGCTGCGGCTCCTCTTGTGCACCATCCTGCTGCACAGGCTCCACGGGGGTTGGCGGCTCAGGAGCGGGCTGCACAAGTGGGGCCCCCTCCTCGATGCCCTCCATGGGCACCTGAAGTGGCTCTGCCAGGGGTGGCTCTGCCACTGGGGGCTCGGCCTGCGCCTGTGTGGACACCTGCTCAGCAGCCTGGCAGGGGTCAGGCAGGGGTGGCTCCACCCTCGCGGGTCCCTCCTGAGCAACCTCCTCCTGAGCAGCCTCCTTCTGAGCACGCTTGCTGCTTTTCTTGGCCGATTTACTTTTCAGAGCTTTCTTCTTTGTACTTTTCTTCGCACAGGCATTTTGCTTTTTATTTTCCTCCTTATTCTCTCCTACTTTTTTGTCACCCTTAGGAGTCTCCTGACCACTTTTGGATTTGCTTTCCAACTTCTTCTTTTTCCTTACGGGTCCGGGTCCCTCCACATTCGCAGAGTCACGCAAGGACTGGACTTCAGCTTCTAGCTTCCTTTTGCTTTTCTTGGTTTTACGGGGTTTTTCTGAATTATTTTCTGTATGCACATCCATCTCTTTTGTCTCTACGGCTGATTTGCGAGTTCTGCAAGTCCCCTGGATTGCTGGGACATTGCTACTAGGCTTTTTCTCTTTTGAAACATCTTTTTTCTCCGCTTTTACTGATTTTTCATTTTTCTTTCCAGCTGCATCCCCCTTTGTTTTTGTCTGTTCTGTTTCTGTTTTTTCGTTATTAATACTGGCATCAGGCAAGTCAACCTCTCGCTTTTTGGTTTTCTTTAGTTTCACTTTTGAGACATCCATTGTTTTACTAGGACAAGTAGGGTGCTTGGATTTGAAATGATACTGCAGATTACACTTCTTAGAAGCTGCGTAGTTGCATACAGGACAATTAAACTGCCGTGGGTTAACATGGAGCTCTACATGTTTTTTGAAATTGCTTCTGTCTGCTGTTTTGTAGTCACAGTGAGGGCAATTAAGAGGTTTAGGGCCATTGTGAACCTGTCTTGCATGGCGAGTTACTTCATGCTGATTAGAGGCCACATAACTGCACAGATCACATTTAAATGGCTTCTCACCTGGAGATAAACAACAAGTATTAGAATATACAGATTAAAGCCACTAATAAAGTTTAATGTACTTACAGGGAATTGTATACACAAAAGAACCACAAAGACTATTTATTGAAAAAACTATCATGCACTTTGTATTTACCATATTTATTTGTATAACTTTCCTCTATCTCTCGACACTGATTCTCAAACCAAGCAGAGAGTAATTCTCAAGTCAACATCTTCAAAAAAGTTCAAGGTAAGGTTCTCAAACACAAAGAAACTTGGGGCTGGGGGTCTAGCTCAGCGGCGTAAGCGCCTGCCTTGCAAGCAGGCAGTCGTGAGTTCAATCCCTGGTACCGATAAAAAGGAAAAAAGACAAAAAGAAAGAAAAACCACAAAGAAATTCATCAAGGGTAAAATTTGTCAGCAAAGTTCAGGTAGGCTCTGGAAGTTAATTTGTGGACAAGGTCACTCAAAGGAACAAAATTTTAAATTTTTTTATGTTTAGGTAAAGAAAAAAAGTGTAACTGATAATATAAAAGTTCCAGAGGGCCGGAAATTTAGCTCAGCGGCATAAGCACCTGCCTTGCAAGTGCGCAGTCATGAGTTTGATCCCTGATACCAAAAAAGTTCCAGAGCCAGAGTGGTGGCCCACAGGCAGCACTGGGAAGCTGAGGCAGGAGGATCACCTTGTATTTGAGTGCAGCCTGAGTTACACAATGAGTTCAAGGCCAGCCTGAATTGCACAGTGAAAAACCCTGTCTCACAAAACCAAAAGATAAATGAATAAATTCCAAATAATTTAAAGACACATTATTAAAGAAATACCTTGGACTATACTCCAGGCCCTAAGTATAAAAGTTTTAAAACTGTGCTTTGGTCTGAAGGAGCAAAGAGAAGCAAAAGCTTTCTCTTGAAATGTAACCTTTCCCCATCATCACAGCAAACTTTCCCAATGCCAGAGTTGCTATTTTAAAGCAAAAATATACTCAAGGAAAAAATAAAAATAAAAAATAAAGAAAAAAATATAATAAAGGTAATTAATCAGAAAACAGTATGTAATTTTCCCCCCTCAAATCTCTATAAAATAAGCAAAGAAACTAGGTTAAGCGAGAAATGACATACAAATAGATATGGCATGTAACATAAGCAGTCATAATCACAGCATACAAACTAGACCACCCCAGCCCCAAGCCAAAGGCATAAGAACACAGTCTACCTGATACATACCCATCTAGATCACTCTCTAGAACATATTACCAAACGGTATCCATACCCCACTGGTCCAATGGAATGCATAGTAGAGAAATGGAAATTGACATTTATGAAAAGTTATCTCAAACATTCTCAAATTCATAAAAGTTTTAATTAAAGTTTTTCATAAATACAGGCACAAAACAAAACCACATAGATGCTAATCTTCATGAGACTAACAAATGTGTAATGATAAACTACTGAATCATAAACCAAAGACTTATACAGGTTAAGTCAGATCTTGTATGCAGCTAACAGCATGTTAGAAAAGCAGTTTCTACAACACGTGATGTTTGTTACTCTACACTTAGTGCTACTACAGTGCCCTCTGCAATGACTGTTCTACCTGGAAACGAGGTTAGAGTACATAACACGCAGGCACAGAATGGAGAAAGACAGGTGGCACTGTGGCTTAAAGCTTGTTCTAGAGTTAGGGCTTCTGAAAGATGAACTACAGGCTCTGCAATCGGCATTCAAACACTTGGAGCCTGGCATGAAAACCTCCCTGGGTGTAATGTACAAATAAAACATTCCCCAAGTATAAGAAAGGGTAAATAATTCGAAGATGTATGTTAACATCACCTAAAGCTTACCCAAGCGTTACACCAGCAGTGCATGTGTTTATGTACTGTCCTGAGCAATGCTACAGGCAGGTGTCATCTCAACTACTTGGCTTCCCTCACCTTTTTTTTTGTTTGTTTGTTTGTTTGTTTTGGTCTCTTTTGAGACAGGGTCTCAGCTCTGCAGTCAGTTCAGGCTGGCCTTGAACTCACAGTGATCCTCCTGCTTCAGCCCCAAACTGCTGAGATTACAGGCATGTACTACCATGCTCAGCACCAGTTCTTACAGTGAATAAATTTAATATAATCATTTTTATATTTCCTGTAACATAAAAATTAACAAAAAATGCAATTTTTGATCTGCTTGTATTTAAATAATTTACCTGTTAAGTGGTTAAGAAGCTAACAAAGTACAGAGCAAGCATTCAATATACAGACACCGTATTACAGCCCTTTAATACCAGCTACTCAGGAGGCTGACTAGGAAGACTTATGTTGAGAGGGTTATACAGCAAGCAGGAGGTATGTTACAAGGGCTTGCAACTGTAGTTCTGTGGTAAAGTGCTTGCCTAGTATTTACTTTTCTGTTTAAATCCTTCCTCTAAGTAACTAAATAGCTGATGCCTAGAGTTTATCGCTCTATGGAGATTTACGGGAGGCCAAGACAGAAGACAGCAAGTTTGTGGCCAGCTCAAGCAACTTCGTGAGACACTGCCTAAAAACAGCCAGAGCTCACTGATGCATGACCCTCGGGATCAATCCCCTGTACTGTACATAAATGAAGTGAGAGAATGTATACAACAAGCACCAATCAAGGTACCAGCCTCCACACCTAAGAAATGGTCAAGGGAGAAGACAACGAAGATTTTGTTTAAAATTCTGATGGCATAAACTACATGGTCTGTTAGTTTTCTTCCCTGACGCTCATTTTATTGCCAGTAAATCTTCCTGTTGCTAGAATATGTACTCATTAAGATTTTCTACTTTAGCCAGGCATGTGGCTCATGCTGGTAACCCCAGCACTCCAAAGACCAAGGGAACATTGTGAGTTCAAGCCAAGATCTACATTACATAGTCAGGCCCTGTCCAAAATGCAAGAGACCCTGTCGAAATAAAACCAAAAAGCTGAGGAGATGTAGCTCAGTATTTCAGCAAGACTACAAGTCCAATCTGAGCAATTTAGTGACTTCGTTTGAGACCCTGCCTCAAAATAAAAAATAAGGATCTGCAGCCAGGCATGGTGGTGCACCCCGGTAAATCTCAGTACTCAAAAGGCTGAGGCAGGAGGACTGCTGAGTTGGAGGCCAGCCTAAACCACACAGCAAGACCGTCTCCAGAAGAAAAAGGGCAAGGGGTGCTACAGACAGCGTTCAATATGAAAGCCCTGTGTGTCATCGCCAATACCACAAACTAAAATACAATAAAACACGTAGCCAGGCATGGAGGCTCATGCCTGTAAATAATCCCAGCACTCAGGAGGCTGAGATGGGAGGATCGTTGCAAGTTCGAGACCAGCCGGGGCTACAGAGTGAGCTCAAGGCCAACCTGAACTGCACAGGGAGACCCTGTCTCAAAAAGACGACCAAAAAAAACCACAATAAAACACGTAATACTCATTTAGCAAGCAGAGCCTGTGTTCAACTATATACTATCTCCCAAAAAGAATAAATGGAAATGGAACTTGCAAAGTTGTCAGCTGCTTTTAACTAGTCAATGCACATATAGCAAGGAAGCAGGCAAAATGAATTCCTACATTCACAACACAAAAACACAGCAGTGTGAATGTATAAAAAAAATGTAATAGCAGTTGGGCACAGTGCCTGCACCTGCAATCCCAACACTGAGGAGGCTGAGGCAGGAGGATCTCCATGAGTTTAAGGTTAGCCTGAAGTATTGTCTCAAAAAACAAAACACTGAAAAATTAAACCTAGTTGTAAATTGAAAAATTAAACCTAAATGCTTAATATTTATCTTGCTGTAAGTCATTTGAAGTCACATCTAACTGACTCATTGTTTTAATGATTCTTCACTGGATTAAAATGACACTCAGATGGGGTCTTACTATGTAAGTGCAGGCTGACCTTGAACTCACAATGTAGCCCAGGGTGGCCTGGGACTGCAGTGATTCACCTCCTCCTCCCTCAATCTCTGGGTATGTGTCTTCATTTATAAATTAAGATCTGTACATTTACAACAGGATTAGAAACAACAAATTCCAATTTTTTAGGACGCAGTATCCAAAATATATATATAAACAGTAGGCCAACAAGTACTATATAAAGGCAATTCCTGAAAACGACTCTTAAAATATAGTAGACAAAACTACAAAGAACATTTAGCACATTCAAATTTGTTTCAGGCCTAACATCATCAACTGTTGTAAAACACCATAGCTAAACTGAGCGTGGTAACGCTCGCCTGTAATACCAAGCACTTGGGGAGGATAAGGCAAGAAGATCACAAATACAAACCCAGCCTGTTCGAGGAATACAGCTCAGTGCAAAGGCACTGAGTTCAAATCCCAAGTACAATATGGAAAAAGTAAAAAGACAAGATAAACATTAAACCCAAGACACTAATTACTGTGAGCCAGGTGTGATGCACATGCCTGTAATCTCAGCAGTAAGGCAGGAGAATCCTGCCTTAGTATCCTAGAAAGGACAACTGTACAGGAGAAATGGTCTTATTTTTTCAATGCTTCAGTATTCTCAAAGATGGGGCTAAATATAATTTACCCAAAATACGATGGCTACAAAGACTAAAGGGTTAACTTAAATAAAGCTCTTAAATGTTTTATTAAAGGGCTAGAGTACAACTATCAACAGGACATAAAACCTACCATTAACAAAGGCTAGCCAGGCATGCTGACACATGGCTATAATCCCAGCACTGACAGGTTAGGGCAAAAGGACCCCAAATTCAAGCCCAGCCTAAGCAGCGTACTGACCCTGTCTCAAAAAATAAAAAGCTGGGTTGAGGCAAAGATCTTTGGTTCTACCCCTAATACTAAAAACAAAATAAGACACACACCTATAATGCTAGCACCCAGAAAGCTGAGTCAAGAGGATCACCTTGAGTTCAATGCCAGCCTGAACTACAAAGTGAAACTGTTCCAAAAGACAAACAATAAATCCTCTAATTGCATCCAACTTACTGTTGGAGAATGAAATCAGGAGTTATGTGGCACAGCTCAATAGTGTATCAGATTAGAAGGCACTCACCCTCTATTAACATGACAGATAAGCAGGGTAGGTCAACATATTGATAGCAAGAGCAACCCAGCACTGGAGGCTAGTGCAGTGGCAGACCATGCTCAAGCCCTGGCTTCGATCCTCAGCACCAAAAAACAAAGTTTTTAAACTATGGTGTATCTTTAAAACTGCAATACAGTTACATAAGCAGCCACTTTACAACAATTAAACAGGTAAAATCGTATCCACATTTTAACCCAATATATTCAGTACTTTCAACATGTAGTATTTTGCAAATATTTATTTTACTTTTTCCCTTCCTGTTTGAAATGCAACATGTAATTGTACTTAAGAAGTCTCAACTCAAACTGCCACACAATTCAATAGCCATCAGGAGCTAGTGGCTACCAAGCCAGACTGCAAAAATCTCCAGTAATTATTAACTTGAAAAAGGTAGGTCTAAACCAGGCGTGGTGGCTCAAGCCTGTAATCCCCACACTCAGGAGGCTGAGGCAGGAGGACACTGTGAGTTCAAAACCAGCCTGGGCTACAAAGTGAGCTCAAGGCCAGCCTGAACTGCACAGTGAGACCCTGTTTCAAAGACCAAAAAAAAAAAAAAAAAAACCAAGGTAAGTCTACATTGACATTCACAAGCAGCAGGAACACAGCATACTTTCCCCATAGGAGTGTACATTTCTATGTCCAGAAAGAGTGTTCTGACCAGCATGGTAGTTTGCCAAGGATTGCTCAGGGCAAACACACCAAGCTGTCCAGAACCAGCTAAACAGACTGCAGATGCAGCACAGTGGCCATCATTTGGTTTCCTGAGCATGTAGAAGGCTGGGGGCTCAATCCTCAGCACCCTAAGGCCAAAAAAAAAAAAAAAACTAAGCTAACCTTTTGTGTGGTGCTGTGCCTGGGATTTGATCTCTGAACACCCACCCCCAGCCCCAGTACTTACTCTTTACCATTTTCGTGCCCCTAGAGTGGGAACTACAATGCAGAGACTATTTCTAGGGGTCCAAGGTTCCTCGTTATAGTGTGATGCTTTGTCTGTTCTAGGTTAGTACACTGGTTTTCCGGAGTATGTATCACTTCTTTCAATTCAACTTTTATAAATCAGCACTCAGTCAGAACAAGCACGTCAGAACAAACTCAAATTTTAAAAACTGAGAAGGCATCCTGGAAAACCTGGCAACCACACACGATGAGACTCGATGTTACACTGTTGAGAGGAATGTCAGAGCATAGATGGACACTGCTGAAAAGCAGACTTGGGCAAGTTCATGACTGACGTAGGCTACACAGTGAGCCCCAAGTCAGCCTGAGCTGCATAGCCAGAGCTTGTCTCACAAAGACAAAAACAAAACAAAACAAAAGCAGATTTGGGTGGGGTGGTGCCCACCTATAATCCCAGCACTTAGGAAACTGAGGCAGGAGGACTGCCACAAGTGTAAGGCCATTCTGGACTACACAGTGACACCCTGTCTCAAAAAGACTAAGTAAGCCGTTCCTCCTACAAAAAGCACACACAATTTATATTGTTTCAAGTCCCCTTTCAGAATCCTTATGAGCAATCTCGATTTCAATACAACTCTATTACTACAACTTTGATTATTTTCACTGCAATTTCTAAATTTTTTCAAGGACAGGTCATAAATAAAAGACTTGGTTTCAGATCTAAAAGCTTTGTTATAATGGTACTTTAAAACAAAGAAAAAACTAGTTAAAAAACAAAAAATAGTGGCAGCTTACTGAAAATGGTTAAAAAAAAAAAAAAAAAAAAAGGTCCCATAGATCACCAACCTGAATGAGTGCGCATGTGTCTAGTTAGATGAGTCTTCTGAGAACTCGAGTATGGACAAAGTTCACATTTATATGGGCGCTCTCCTGAAAAATTATAAGAGTAAAGCAGCATTTACTTTTTATTTTAAAAAGAAAAAAAGAAAAGAAAAATAAAAAACAAAAGAGACAAACAACAAAAAACTCAAAACAGTAATACAGGCTTTCAAAGCAAAATGATAGGAACTTAACAATGGCTATTTTGCATAGCTATCTTCAAGAGTTACTCAGATTACCAGATACAGACATACAACATTGATCTAATCAAGTAAGTATAATCAACAGCATTTAAAGGCAAAAAGAAAAAAGCAAAATACAATTCCCACCCACAGAACAATATTTAGTATTCAGCACTTCTAAACACAGATTAGAAACAAATTACTTCAGAACTGATACATTATTTCAACTTTGCTGACAAATTACCTCTGGCATTCTGAAATCTCATAGCTACTGTATTTTTTTTTTCTTTTTTTGAGACAGAGTCTGGCTGTGCAGTCAGTCAGTCTAGTTGCCATGGAATTTAGGATGATCCTCCTGCCTCAGCCCCCTAGGTGCTAGGATCACAGGTGTGTTCACCTGGCAATCTCAGTTTTCAAAGTTACATGTTGAACTGAGATACCATCTTCATAAAGTATCAAGGAGCTATGTTTTTATTTAGAATTACTCTTTTAAAAAAATCTTGGCTGAGGGCTAGCCATTGTAACTCAATGTAAAACAGTTTCCTAGCATGCATGAAGTCCCTGGGTTCAATCTCCAGTATAAGAATGAAGCTTGGAAGAGGCTGGGGATTTAGCTCAGCGGCATTAGCGCCTGCCTTGCAAGCAGGCAGTCGTGAGTTCAATCCCTGGTACTGATAAAAACGAAAAAGACAAAAAAAAAAAAAAAAAAGAATGAAGCTTGGGGCTGGGGATTTAGCTCAGGGCATAAGCACCTGCCTTGCAAGCAGGTGGTTGTGAGTTCGATCCCTGGTAGGTACCCATTAAAAAAAAAAAAAAAAAGAAAAAGAAAAAGAATGAAGCTTAAAGGCAGGCATGGTGGTACACATCTATAAACTCAGCACTTGAAAGGCTAAGGCTGAGACAAGAGGATCCCTAAGTTTGAGGACAGGCTGGGCTACATACAAAGTGACTTTAAGGCTAGCTTTAACTGCACAGTAAAATTCTAGCTCAAAAAAATTATTGGAGCCAGGGGTTTAGCTCAGTGGCGTGAGCACCTGCGTGGCAAGCGCAAGGTCATTGAGTTCGGTCTCCAGTACAAAAAAAAAGAAACCTGAAAAGAAAAATTCTTTTTTTTTTTATTTATTTTTTTTTTATTGGTACCAGGGATCGAACTCACGACTGCCTGCTTGCAAGGCAGGCGCTTATGCCGCTGAGCTAAATCCCCAGCCAAAAGAAAAATTCTTGCCTGGGAAGATAGCTCAGGGGTCACTGGCTCGGCTCAATCCCAAGCACAAGACAGAACAACACAAATTTTGAAGCTATTGAGTAGTCAAATTTTCTGATCCTTATAAGTGATCATTCTACCAATTGAAAATGTCAGCTGAAGCAACACCACCAACACAAGCAACACCAGTGTTGCTGCTTAAGCTAAAAATGTTCCTGGTACCCAAGCATGAATGTCTACAGTCCTAGCTCTCAGGAGACTGAGGCAGGATTGTAAACTGGAGGCCTGTCTGGACTACACAGTAAATTCAAGGCTAGTATGGACAGTAAAACTGGATCCTTCCTCAAACATGTTTTCAAGAGCTGGGCATATAATTCAGTGTGCAAAGGTACTAGATTCAATCTCCAGCACAAGAAAAAGTAAAAATTAAAACTGAACAGCTGTTTGATCCAGTCTTTGGTCACAAGTAGTAATGGCATCAGCAAATTACTAAGAGTCCAGTTTGCCCACTTCTAAAAAGAACACAGTATGATGTAAACTTCCTATTATGAGAATTTAAGTAAGGTAAGATGCTGCGGGTGGTGGTGCACACAGGTAATCCTAGCACTCTGAGAAGCTAAGGCAAGAGGATGCAAATTCAAGATCAGCCTGGACAGGTTAAACAAAGTGAAACTGTCTCAAAAGTCAGAGAGTCAAAGTAGTCAGTGGTGGAATGCTAGCCTAGCATGCAGGCCCAGAGATTTGATCCTCAGTGCCACCAAAAGGGGGGGGGGGGCCGCGGGTCACGCTTTTCTTCTTGATGCTGAAGACCAAAGCCAGAACCCAGACACTAAGAACTGGCTTCAAGGCCACACTTTCCTGGGCTCCTAGCTTTAGGACGAGTCGTGCTTTGCACTAGGAAGGCACTCAGCCTGTGTATACCACGGAAGGTGACCACCTCACTCCCAAATGGCAGGTCAGCTTGCTCAGAAAATGGTTTCAACTGGGGTAACACGCTCATCTTTTAAAAACTAACTTCTCATGTTTCTGTTTGGAGAAAAACAACAGGTTGTTCCATTTAGAAACTCAGCACACCTCAAAGGTTTTGGTTAAATGGATCTGTGTGAAGTTCACAGGGTCCTGTTTTTTCAAAGCCTTCAATTTCTTCTGGGAAACTACATCTTACCCGTGTTCACTGTCACATAACACAACCTCAAAAAAAATTCCAGCCTATCAGTGTATGTGCTTTAGGCAAGACACTACTGAGACTTCTCAGGAAAATTCTCACATACCACTCAGCGCTCTGCTGTACTACCTCAGTCCTCAACTACAGACCTACCTGCAGCATGAGCATAGTACGTCGTGAATGCTTAATTTTTAAAAAATTATTACAGCGAAAGCTACACTGCTATTAGTTCTCCCAAAATACTCTATCTTACTTGGAAGGCACTTATCCTACACTTCATAAAACCTGTCGGTATATGGCCATGCAACTCACCAGATCTGGCACCATGAGAATTTTGGCTCTTCAAAGTCAAAATGCCCATGAAAAGCCAGATGTGGCAGCTCTCTGAGAAGCTGAGGCAGGAGGGTTGCACGTTCAAGCACAGTCTGGAAGCTCAGGATCCATCCTGTCTCAAAATAAAACTTTTTTTTTTTTTTTTGTCTTTTTCCTTTTTATCGGTACCAGGGATCGAGCTCACGACTGCCTGCTTGCGAGGCAGGTGCTTATGCTGCTGACCTAAATTCCCAGCCCGAAATAAAACATTTTTTAAAAGTACTGGTTCCAGCCTCAGGACTTGAACTTGTCGCAAAACACAACAAAAATTTCATAAAATGTAAGCACTCTGAATCAATTCAGGACATCAAGACAGCCCTGCCAGTACAACTAAAGACACTCACCGTACTGGACTTCTAGAACTGTCTTAGACAATGTCAAGAGGTGGCACACTCCTGTAATCCCAGCACTTGGGAGGCTGAGGCAGGAGAATCATTTGCAAATTCAAGACCAGCCTGGGCTACAAAGTGAGTCCAAGGCCAGCCTAACCTGCCTAGAGAGACCCTCTCAAAAAAGGAAAAAAAAAATCACAATGCCAAGAGACCAGGCATGGTGGCACACTAGCACTTAGGAGGTTGAAGCACTGTGTTCAAGACCAACCTGGAATACAATAAAAAGAGACCCTGTCTCAAAACAAAAGATTTTTAAAGTGCCAAGAAACATGTTAATAAAAAAACACTTAACACTCCAGGCTGAGGCACAAAGCAAGGCAGTTCAAGGCCAGCCTGAATGACAGGGAGCCTGTCTCAAAAAACAAAGAAACAGGACCGAGGTGGCACAAGAGTCTGCCTTGCAAGTAAGTGTATGGTCGTGAGTTCAATCCCTGGTACCGATAAAAACAAAAAAGACCAAAAAAAAAAAAAAAAGAGAGAGAGAGAGAGAGAGAGGAAAAAAAAAATCTCGAGGTCAGGAGTTCGACCCCCAATACAAAAAAAAAAAAAAAAATTTTTTTTTTTCTTTTTTCCCGATACCGGGGATTGAACTCACAACTGCCTGCTTGCAAGGCAGGTGCTTATGCCGCTGAGCTAAATCCCCAGCCCCCAAAAAATAAATTTTAAAATCAGAAAGTGAGGATGGGCATGGTAGCACATGCATGTAATCCCAGCACTTGGGAGGCTGAGGCAGGAGAATTGCTGGAAGTTCAAGGCCAGCCTAAGCTATGCACCTAAGGTAAGCCCAAAATAGAGGGAGACCTTGTCTTAGATAAATAAATGGGCTGAAACTATAGCTTGGTTTCAAGGCCCTGAGTTCAATCCTCGACACTGCCACCAAAAAAAAAAAAAAGTGAGGCTCGAACTAATAAACTACAAGGCTTCTCTTACCTGTGTGAGTCCGAACATGCTGGACATAATTATTTTTTCTGTCTGAAAAGTAGTTGCACTTGCCGCATGTGTACACTTTCCTTGGAAAGTGGTTTCTCAGATGTTTCCTCCAGTGATACTCGCTTACAGTGGTGTATGTGCAAATGATACACTTGTACACTCGCTCGTTATCCCCAGCTCTGGTGTGGTGCTTCAGGTGAGCAGTGTAATGATCATATCGATTGGTGTTGTAGCCACAGCGGTCACAGCGGATGGGACCCTTCGAGAAATCTTCCTCTTCAGCAGGAGAAGAGCCAGACTCCCTGGCTCTGGCCTGCTTCTCTGCACTTTCTTCTACAAAAAACTTCTTGGCACTGTGAACTCTGATATGATGCACAAACTGTTCTTCAGATTCTGCTTCATATTGGCACGGCTTACAGCGAAAGGGTTTGGTCTTCAAGTTCTTGCACTTGTCCTCTGCTCCAGGTGTTTCAGGAGGAAGATCTTTATTGGAATTGTAAACCTCTGGTGCAGCTGGCGCCTCAAATACAGGCTGAGGTTCTACAACACTGAGCTCCAGATTCCTCAGTTCCACGTTCTCCAGTCCAATAGGCTCACCTTTTACTTCAGAAGACTCCTCCAGCCCTTCTCCATCACTGTCTGAGAAGTTGTTATCCCCAACTGGCATCAATTCCGCCATCTGCCTTTCTTCACCAACCAGGTAGTCACAACAGCTGCCATTTACTTCTCCAGTTAGGGCCACATTGGCCAACATGATGAGCTGAGGCGCAGCCAGCTCAGCTTTGGAGAGGTCGTGCAAGTCATACATGTCATTGGGCAGGGCCATGTTGATGTTGCCGCTGCTGGAGAACAGGCCAGCTCCTCCAGAGGCCTGCCCCATCACCTGGGTGGCCATTGTACTCTGCATTGAGAGCAAAAACAGGGAGAGGGCCAGCTTAAAGTCAACTCTTAGCCTATGATCAGCACCATTCTAATTCTTCATAACCTTTACAACTCAGTGGGCTTCACTTCACTTGTTAAAAAAGAACCTTGAGAATATTTTTGTTGGGCTGGAGATTAGCTCAGCAGTAGAAAATCTGTCCAGCCCTGTGTCTATCCTCAGCAACCCCAAGCAGTGTTTTTAATTCCCAATTCTTTTCACTACAGTCACCAAAAATGAAACATCACTTTTTTAGCCCTCCCCCAAAATTCTATCAATTGCTTGATGTAATAGTCATCAACTATATCTCCCACTGGCATGTAAGTGCTCAAACATTTTTTTCTGTTCCAGAACAAAACCGAAAAAAAGCCTTCATTTTTAATGTTGATTTAAGTTACTTTAAAAACCCAATGCACGAATAGTAAACTGTTGTCTACTCAGTTTTCTCCTTCAGCAGTTCAATGGTCTCTATCAGAAAGCCAAGAAATTCACAACCATTCTGAGCATACATTAACTATACACAGGTTTGAAAGGAATCCTGTAATAACTGATAAAATTAACTGAATTTCACAGGAACTCAACGGACTCCAAAAACAAAATACAGTAAATAAAGTATCTCTTATTCTCAACCTTTTGATGTTTAAAAACATAAAAGCTTGGGGAAAAAAGTATAGAATCCTCCCTTTCCTGTGAAAAGGCAAGTTTAGTTTATTTGAAACTTTTCAAACGAATGTTAACAATGTTTTTCCGCAAAACCCTTAATAAAACGATCGTACAACTCAACGGGACAATCAGCAACTTTCTTGCACCGTGCTTGCCTTGGCCTACTTGCCTAGTGGAAGCCATTACAAGATCACCTTCTTCAAAACAAGTTGGGTTTTAAATGGCTTGAAACGCGTCTCTTCCAGCCTGAAAGGTGCTACTACTCCCCAACTAACTCCGTGTCTTTTTCCAAACAACAATAGAGTAAAACACTAAAACATAGTCCAGAAATACAATAAAAGCAATCCTTTTCACCCAAGGATACAAGCCCGTGTAGTCCTCTGCACTAACAAAGTTGGAACCGAATGCCTTCACAGGAAACCGAGCGCAGGCTGTCCCCGGACTCCCCAGCGCAGCCGCCCTCCCGCTCTGAATCCCGCCGCCCGCCGGCGCCCCGCAGACGGGACCCGGTCGGGAGGCCGTCCCCGCGCAGCCTGCAGCCCCGGGGCCGCGCGAATTCCTCCGAGCAGCGGCCCAGCGGCCGCATTCCTCCCTCCCGTAGGCATTCGGCCATTTTCTCCGAAGACCGAGCACAAAGCGGCGCCCCGCGAGCTCGGCGCCGCTCTCCTTCCCCTCGCTGGGCCCGCGCCCCGCGCCCCACGCCCCGCTGGAGTCGCCCCCACCTGGGCCCGCCGCTGCGCCTGCACTCCCCACACTCGGGCCGCCGCGGCGGAAGGCGAGCAGGGCGCTGTCCGGCCCGGGCGAGGCGGGCAGCCCCTCCCGGCCCTGGCCCCGACGGGCTCCGCCGACCCCCGGCTCGGTGGCTCCGGTCTCTCGGTCGAGGCTCTGCGGCGCCCTCCCTAGGCGCGGCGCCCCGAGGCCCCACGCCGGCCCGCCACCCCCGCGCCCCGGAAGTTTGCGAACTTCACTCGCCCACGGCGCGGGGAACGCGCGCCCGGCCCGGCCTGCGCGGAGGACCGGGCGCAGGAATCGCTGTCCAGCTCCGCCCGCCGCCGGGCTGACTCAACCCGCCCGGCCGCGCTCCGCCGCGCCTTCCGGCGAGGGAGAGGCCAGGGGAGGGGGCGCGGGACCCGGGCCGAGGAGGAGGAGGAGGAAGAGGAGGAAGTTTAAGGCTGGGGCCCCGAGCAACTCGGCGCTCCGCCTCGGAGAACCGGCCTCGGAGGAACGTACCGAGCCACGGCTTGCCTCGCCGGGGAGGGGTCCCACTGCCCGTCGCCCCGGCCTGGACCCCTGGCCGCGCCGCCCCGCCGCCGCTGTAACCCGATCCCGCCCGGTGAGGCCGCTGCCGCCGGAGCTACGGTATCTGCAAATCAGCCCTGGACAGCGCCTCGCTCGCGTCCTTCCGCGCCCTCCCCCTCCGCCGCCGTCCGGCCCCGCGCCCCGCTCACCAGCTTCTTCGGCGCGTAGGGGCGGCCCAGCCAGGAGCTCCGCTCCTTCGACTATTTTTCTTTGTTGCCTGGAGTTTCGGGGGAGGGGTGGGGGAGGGGGGCAAAAGTTGGGCGCCGGGGCCGTCGGTGCCCGCGGAGGCCCGGGAGCGGGGCCGCAGAGCGCGCTTAGGCCGCCGGGCCTCGTTCTGCCGTCCCAGCCACCGTCGCCGCCGGGGTCTGGGGCCCCGGGCCTCGGCGGCGCTCGGTCTGCTGCTGCGCCGCGAGCTCGCGGGAGCTGCACATTCCAGCACAGGACGCCGCGCCGCGCACAGCCCGCCCGCGCGCCGCCGGCCCGGACACGCCCCCTCGCCGCCGCGCGCGCCCGCGGACACGCCCCCTCCCCGCCCGCCGCCGCCGCTCCGCGCGCGTGGCCGCCGGCGCGCCCCGCCCCTCCGGGAAGAGGAAGGGCTGCGGGCCGCGAGCGGCCGGGGAGCCGCGCCTGACACGCCCGGCCCCTCAGTCCTGCCCCGAGGTCAGGAGAGGGGCGGGCCCGCTCGCTTCTCCGAGTCCTTCTGGAAAGCGCCGAGAAGTGACCCCCGGGCCCAGCGGGCAGGCGGAGAGGAGAGCTGTTAAAGGAAGAGCGCACGCGGGGTGTGGTGCCGCCCGCCGGGCGTTCGGGGCGGCGAGCGAGGCCGGAGGGTTGCGGGCCGGGCGGCGCCTGGCTGTGGCGTGGCTTCCCCGACCCCGCTGGGAAATGTGTGGTGAATGCGGCTGTGTGTTTAGGTTAGCGCAGGAACGCCAAATTCAGTCCCCGGTGCTGGGGGCAAGAAAGACAAAAAGAAACATCAGTTGTGTGAAATGCCTTCTTAGCCTGCCTTTCTCAACGTGGGTCTCAGACTTGCCCTGAAATTCATGGTCACTCGACTACAAACTAAAGTCTGACGCTCTAGAGTGACTTTAAAGGCCCTGCCTAACCTGATTTTAAGAAGTCAACTACCGCTGGAATCCACAGGGGTGCCAGCAAGTGCTTGCGAGTAGGGAGATGGGTCCCAGGAGAAACTAGGAGCTTCGGAGAGGACAAGTTTGGCTTGGTGGATGAGGAGAATCTCGTCGCTAAAAAATGGGGGAAGGTGCGCTGCACGCAGTGAAAACAGCCAGACTGAACCCACAACCGCGCTCCAGACATCCTAAGACCTCCTCAGGCACCCCGAATTCCTTCTCTTGAGTTCCTAGTCCGGTTTGTCCACGAAGCTTTCCTGGCGCCCCGCTGGAGGACCTGTGCATACCTGGGCCGTACAGTCGGTGTAGATTAGGTACAGTCCAGTGCAAGGTGAAAATCCACCAGTTTTCTGTGGCTTTGTTTCAAAGCAAGCCCTCCCAAATCAAATTTAAAAAGTATTCCTTTACAATACCCCCAAGGAAAGGAGAGAGAAAAAAGAAAAGCCATTTTTTTTTTAAAGGTCTGGTAGAAACTTTCTACATTTATTGTTCTTCAAAATAGACTTTGAGGTTACATGTTTGGTTTTGTTTTGTTAGATGTTGTAGCCAGGATACAATTCTGGCCTCTACCAAGATTGTCGAAGACACAAAGTTTCCTTTTCTGTCCGAAAAAGCAAAAATGAAACAATACTTTTTCAACTTAATAGATAAATGACCTTCATTTTCTCGGCCTGACCACCTACTGGTAATGTCTTATTAATTGCGAATTTATTCCCACTTATTGTGATGCAAATAGGCGATTGGCAAATGGGCGGTTGCATTCATTTTAAATTAGCAGAGGCCCTTGTTCAAGGAATTGCATATTCAAAGTGACCCAAATTATCATGACACGAAGGCCACAGGTCAAATTCAAGGCCAAATTACAAATCAATAGATTTCCTTGGGGGAAGCTGGCGCTGTGAATTTGAATTCTTAATTGGTTTTCTTGGCTGTATCCTGTTAGGCTGTATCCAAAATGGAAGATCTTTCGAAGATAAGAATTTTGAAATGTGAGTTCTACTTTTTTTACATGGATTCTTTCCTGCACATTTAAATCCATCCATTTCTTAAACTTTTAAATATCATATGTTCTTAATAATACTTCTCTTAGAGATTTATTTCAAAACTTTGGTAAAATACTGGGTTTTGTTTTTTTGTTTTTTGAGCCTCGATGTGCTTTTTATTCCTAACCTATGTTTCAATTTTTCTTAATAAGTTGGCTAGCATAAGTGCCTGCCTGGCAAGCACGAGGTCATGAGTTCGATCCCTGGTACCAAAAAAAAAAAAAAGAGAGAGAGAGGAAGAGTAAGTTGGTTGAACCCATATTAATGTCACAGTGAAATTCAGTAATGTTTTGTGTGCTGTGTCTGACTTTTCTGCCATCTGCCAGGAAGACCCGAGGACTAAAGGGTCCTGTGATCTCCACAGGACTCTGTCTCTAAGACATCTGGCTCTGAAATGCTGGCTAAGTCAGTGCCTACCCCTGGAACCCCATTTTTTGGCAGTGCTGTAGGTTGACCCCAGGGCCTTCACAATGAGCCAGACCCACGTACCTTTCTTGAGATTAGGGTCTTGATAAATTGCTAAACTGCATAAACTGGGCTTGAACTTTCTATCCTCCTGCCTCAGCCTCCCAAAGCACTAGAATTACAAGCATATGCCACCTTACTACACTCCAACACAAGTGCTGTTTCTCATTTAGTTATTTAATTGTATTTTGAGACACATTCTTGCTTATATAGTCCAGGCTGGCCTTGAACTCATGAGCAAGGCCCTGAGTTTGACCACCCAATACCCAAATGAAAGTAAACAAAACTAAGTTAAAACACAATGTAAAGGTTTTTCTGTGGGGTTTTTTGTTTTCTATTTTTGAGATGGCTCTCCCTGTCTAACTCAGGCTAACCTTGAACTCACTGTGTAGCCCCAGACTGGCCTAGAACGTTTGGCTCCTACCTCAGCCTCCAGAGTGCCAATATTACAGGGTTGCCCCACCACAGCCAGCAGGCAGCGACACTTAAGGCTGGATCTGCTCCTGTTTCACACAGCATCCTCCACCTTCGTTTCCTGTGGAGCTCTGACCTTTGGTTCTGTGTCTTACTCACAGGCCGAGAATGAAGGCAGGAACAGGGACTGCGGGGCTCCCAGCAGCCTGCGTTTGAAGCCCAGCTCACATCAGAACAGCTCTCATTTCCCTCTTCCCTCTTGGCTCACTGGCCTCCCCACGCAGGCTGCTTACTTCTCTCATCCATCACTCTGCCTGCTTTTCCCTTGTTGTAGGACTGCTCAGTGCCTTGCTGACTCTGCTCCCCATTCTTCCACCTCCTTGATGCAAATACCCTCTTTACCTTCCCTGTGGCCACACTGTCTAAAATTATAACCATGCTGTTGTGATGGCTCACCATGGGTTGGAGCCATGCCTGGACTATGTAGTGAGTTCAAGGTCAACTTGGGCTACAGAGTGAGATCCTGTCTCAAAAGCAAAGAAAGGCCATTACTGTCCTCTCCCTTCTCCCCCAGTCTAGTTCTCTGGCCTGCCTTGCTTTGTCTTTCTCTAGCCTTTGTCTTATGATAGGTGTTGACTCTTTGCAGGATAGAACCTAGGTCCTCAAGCATTCTACTAGTCAAAGGCCCTGCCACTGAGCTGCAGCCTCTAGCCCTGGTATTCTCTTTGTTGCCTTCACTTGATACCTTGCTTTCCTCACTGAATTGTAAGCCCCAGGAAGACAGGCAAATCTGTTTTCAGCACCAGTCCCTACAACTTGACATTTGCTCAGTAAGTGCTTGTAAATCCAATGACTCCAGCATTCCAGCTTGATATGGCCAGTCTCTAACCCTTTACCACCAAGACATATCCCCAACCCTCTATTTTTTTTCCTGGCAATACCGGGGATTTGTCCCAAAGCCTTCACAATGAACTATATTCCAGACTTTTTGTTTCTGTATTTTGAGACAGGTTCTCCCTAAGTTACTAAAATGTCCGGACTGAGCTTTAACTTGCAATTCTCCTGCCTCAGCCTCTCAAAGTGCTGGGATAACAGGTGGTGTCACTACACTCAATTTAAGTGATTGTTAAAAAAAAAAAAAAAAAAGATAAAGGGACCTTTTGGAAAAGAGATGGGAGATACTGTAACATTCTTCTGTGATGATGTGTGTTAGGTGTAAAGAGTTCTTATCTGCTGATAAGAGACATCTTCCCTGGTTACTCGGGGTAGGGGTAGGGACTCATGACAATTAAGTTTTTTCTGCCTTTAGCAATATGTGAGATTTCAAGACCTCAAATGCTCAAAATAAAGGAAAAAAGAGGGGTTGGTATATATTTTAACATGAAACCCCAGGGTTCAATCCTCAGTAACACACACGCATACAAACACATAAAGCAAAAAGCACCACCACCAACAAGAAGATTCATGCCTTCTGCTCCAACCAATTGAACTCACTATGCAGCTCAGGCTGGTCTCATACTCAGGGCAATCCTGCTGCCTCAGCCACCCAATTACTGGGGCAACAGGTGTGTGCCATTATGTCAGGCTCAAAATAATTTTCAGACGGATTTCCCATACCTGTAATCCTAGTATTCAGGAGGCTGAAGCAGGAGAATTGCTGTGGGTTCAAGTTTAGTATGGATTGCATAGTGAGGTGGATGCCAGCCCAAGTGGAACCCTGTCTTGCCAAAAGAAAAAAAAAATTCTGACATAGCTATTCTGTACTCCTTAGATAGTACTAAGAAAAAGGTAACTATAATGGTATGCAACTATGGAGACCAATCGCAAAACACTCTAAGAAAAGAAGCCAGGTAGGAAAGGCCACTGAGCTTTGCTTTCATTTACATAACACCGTGAGAAGATGACATAGACAATCGGTGTCCCTGCTGGACTGTAAGAAGACTTACTGAGGACAGAGGACAGCAAGTGCACAAGGGAATTTTTAGGACGGTGCAAATGATCCGTATTTCAACTCTTCAGATGGCTACACAAGTGTATGAATTCTTTTACATGCATGGGCATGGGTGTGTGTGTGTGTGTGTGTGTGTGTGTGTGTGGTATTCTGGAGACTGAAGCCAGGAAGTTGGGAGAAATATAACTCCCGCTCTATGAGATGTCAGAGGTGTCTAGTTAGTGTTTGCCAAAATCAAAGAATAAATTCCAAAGAACAGTGGATGTTAAGGATGGGAAAGATTTGAGAGATACAGGACACACTAAGTGGGAAAAGAGGAGGCAGCCACCGTGATGTGCAACCTGGAGTCCCAGCACTCAGCAAGCTAACGCGGCATTGCTGTGAGCTTGAGGCCAGCCTGGAATGTATAGTGAGACCCTGTTTCAAAAGTAAAAGGGGATCCTCAGGTTCATAAGCATGATGATTGGGTGTTCATGCTCCATGCATGACATGTGCCTCCTTTGAACTTTATTAGGATGTTGGCACGTTGCCCATCTGACATGAAAAAAAAAGTAAAAGGGGGTGGGGGTAGGGAGAGGATGCTCAAAGGAGTGGGGCACACACAGTTGGGGACAGGGGATCTTTAATGTGTTTTGGGAGGTGGAAATCTGGAATTTGAAATTCAATACTCTTGATCCTGTCTTTTAAGTCTTAGTAGTCTTATTATCAGTGAATGAGAGGGATGACTCACTCCTAGTGAGATAATGTCTATCTCTGGGAAATTCCAAAAGGCTGATACCAGTTACAGTATAATCTCAAGCTTCTATTCATCCCTTAGGGAAGTATGTAAACCTGTCCATTGTGACTTTAACCTCCAGGTCTTACCTTCTTAAAATGCACCGTCAGCCAGTTTTTGTTTTGGTTTGTTTTGGTTTGGTTTGTTTGTTTGTTTGTATTGGTACACGGGATTGAACTGGAGACCTCGTACTTGCCAGGCAGACACTTGTGCCACTGAACTAAATCCCTGGCCCTGGTTTGGTTTTTGATACAAGGTCTCCCTGTGTACCTAAGGCTGGCCAAACTCACAGTGTAACCCAGGCTGGCCTTAAATGCCCAGCAGTCTTCCTGCCTCAGCCTCTGGAGTGCTGGGCTACAGGCATGTACCGCCATGCACAGCCAGCCACAGTTCTGATGTGTTCTTCCTTCTGTACTGAGCCTATTAATTTCTATCTAACTTACCTGCCTGTAATATTCTCACTGAACTACATCACCAACTCCTTTTTATTTTGAAACAGGGTCTTTCAAAGTCACAAAGGCTGAGCTCAACTTTGTAATCGCCCTGTTTCAGCATCTTAAATTTTAAAACTTCTGGGCTGGGGATTTAGCTCAGCAGCACAAGCACCTGCCTGGCAAGCACATGGTCATGAGTTTGAGCCCAGTGGTACCAAAAATAAATAAAATTAGTAACTTACACAAAGGAAAAAGTTTGCCAAATGCATATATACCTCAATATCTGAAGTGTGTGCAGGGATGTGGTATATACCTGTAATCCCAACTACTATGGAGCTTAAGGTAGGAGAATCACAAATGCAAAATCACTCTAGGCAACACAGAAATACTCTTTCAAAAATACACATGGAAACTTGACTTTGTTTTTAGCTCTAGTTTTTTTATTAACACATGTTTGCAGTGGTGTTGCTGTTTTTCAGGAGGTTCTTATACAGTGTGCCATTGACAGGAGCATAAAATACAAATAAAATTATTAAATTCTTAATGTGCATCTTGCATTTAGAATAGACATCAATATTTTCACATCAGGGGGCTGGGGATTCAGCTCAGCGGCATAAGCACCTACCTTGCAAGCAGGCAGTCATGAGTTTGATCCCTGGTAACGATAAAAAAAAAATGAAAAAGACAAAAAAAAAATATTTTCACATCAGCTAAGTACTTCCTTACAAAACCTAAAAGATAACATCAGAAATAAATTCCTGTATAAACTGCAATGAAACAACCCAAAGAACTGTACCACAGAAATAAGCTTTGCTTCAAATGTCACTGCCAAGGCAGTCTTCACACCTGACAACTGCATGTTCTATGTACATGGCTCGCTTACACTGACAGCACGTGTACTTAGCTTTCCTTTCCTGTGTGGCAGTCTTGTCACGTCTCTTCCTGTTTCATCAGGAGCGTCCTACTACACTGTACAACATGCACTTAACAGGGAAGTAAGAGGTCAATAAAATGCAATATTAAATATATAATGAGTGCTTAGAATAGATATCAGCATGTTTATAAAACCTAAAAGATAGCATCAAAAATAAAAACCTTTGTGAAAAAAAGAACCCTATTTTAAATTACTGTTTACCTCTCTACCACAGAAATAAACTTCCTTGCCAGGTGCAGTGGTGCATGCTTGTAATCCCAGAACCCAGGAGGCTGAGGAGGATCACTGAGAGTTCAAGGCCAGTTTGGGCTACCTAATGGAGTTCAGGCCACTCTTACTATGTGGTGAGACCCTACCTCAAAAAAAAAAAAAAAAAGCTTTTGTTTCAACTGTGACACCCAAGGCCATCTTCACACATGAAAACTTCGTGTTCCATACACAGATACTGCTTAAGCTCATAGTATGTGTATTTTGTTTTCCTTCCTTTCCTTTCTTTCTTTTTTTTTTTTTTTTTTTTTTTTTTTTTTTCCTTATGGCACAGGGCTTCACTATGCAGTTCAGGCTGGCCTCAAACTCTCAGCGATCCTCCTGCCTCAGCCTCCTGAGTACTGGGATTACAGGCCTGTACCACTGTGCCCAACCTGTACTTTCTGGAAGGGCCCCGTTGACATCTTTTTGTTTTCCTGTTGTCGTAGTAGGTCTTTCTGATGCTGCACCCACCTGTTCACCTGTCAGCTCACAAGTGTTCTCCACAATTTTTTTGCATAGTTCCCTGGGCAGAAACATTTTGTTTTTCCTTTGCTATAAATTATCTCTCTTTTTTTTTCCAATTTTAAAGAGAATGTAGCCAAACAAAATGAAACAGGATAAAACTAATCAAAACAAAACAATGAAAGCAATATAGGACTTCAAAACAAAGTAATAAGAAATCAACAATCGCTACTATAATGCCTCTTGTTATCTTCAAAATAGCTGGCCATATCATCAAACCAAACAAAAATAAAACAGATAAAACCAATCAAAACAAAACAATGAAAGTGACACAATACTTCAAAACAAGATAGTAGGAAATTAACTATGGCTACCACTTTGTAACTGATCTCTTATGAGCTCCATTCCCAATCCTCTAAGAGAAAATCTACATATTTTGCACTCATTACATTCTTTGTAACTGTCAAACTATTTGTAACACATGTTTAGGATCAAGTAAAGAGCAACCATTGGCCAATACTTTGTGCGTCAAGTGACATCATGGTTACTGCGTAACTCATTCACGATATCCATTCCACAGTCAGGTTTGTTGTTGAAAGTTTCCACCTCAGGCTTCCATTTTGTCAAGGTTTCCCTATCAATATTTTCATCATGGTTAAAATTTTTTAAAATCATTTTGAAACAAAACTGCTATGCAGTTTAGTCTGGCCTTGGGTTCACTTTGTAGCCCAGGCTGGGTTTTTTTGTTTGTTTATTTGGTTGGGGTTTTTTTTTTTTTTTTTTTTTTTTTTTTGTCTTTTTCCTTTTTATCAGTACTGGGGATCGAACTCATGACTGCCTGCTTGCAAGGCAGGCGCTTATGCTGCTGAGCTAAATCCCCAGCCTCCACAGGCTGGTTTTTTGAACTTGCAACAATCCTACTTATGAAAGTGTGCCACTACACCTACCTAATCATGGTTAAATGTCGACGTCAGCAGTACCAGTTTGTTTTCTTTGCCATATAAAAGCCAATATTATGTCCTCCTGAAATTCAAAGATTCTAATATACAATTCTCTGTTTTGAAATTTCAACATTTCATTGGGAATTTCTTTTTGTTCCTTTGTATAGTTCCTGCCTTGCTCAACTTCTGCTGTGTTAGCAAATGTAACATCAATTGGAAACTGTTACACCAACTGTCAAATGTCATATTCTAGTTAGTTTGGGAGATGAGAGCAACAGTATCATTTAGTTTATTGCTATACAAATAAGGATCAGATGGCTGAATTCCAAGATAAATGTCTGAAGTGGAAGAATAAGTCTTCACATTACAAGGGCATAAATTTTTGTTTCATATTTTGACTCACTGCTTTTCTGTAGGTCTTTCACATTCATGAGAATCATGAGAATTCATGAGAAATTCATGCTAAGTACAGCAGACCTATGAATGCTTTCAGTTCAGCTAGGGAGGTATCATAATAAATAATAAATGTATTTGATAATGTGGCCATTGGTGCATGCTAAATATTTACTTTGTGTATTTCACAGCATCTTGTAGCACTTCATCTGTTACAGTTTCCAACTCTGAATAGTAGTGCAGGCATTCTGTTCAATACTTTTTTTTTTTTTTTTTATCGGTACCGGAGATCGAACTCATGACCGCCTGCTTGCAAGGCAGGTGCTTTATGCCATTGAGCTAAATCCCCAGCCCATGTTCAATACTTTTCATTCCTGCCAAGCACTTCACTATATTTTCAGACCTCTTTCTAGCATTGGATTACTCCATTTGGTTGCACGGCCATTTCCCAGTGTTTTGACTAGTGAAATATGTACTCACAGTGCTGTGTTCTTCATCATCTGAATCAAGGAGGTCTGCATTCCTTGTCTATGTCAGTTGATTTGATTTTTGCTCCTTTTCACTGTCACAGGATCTTTGGCTCACATAGCCAATGTCAAAATCATCACCATCATCATCCACCCACACCACTTTTCTGTTAGGAAAGCATATATTTTACCCTAATGGGTTCATCATCATGCATGAATAATCTGATGACTCATTTTTTATCTCCTCCAAAACTCGCAAATCTGGTTTTTCAGGTATTAAATTGGGCTACTTCTACCAGAAAAATCAAAAGGAAACTTTTTTTTAAAAAACAAATCCTAGAGTGGTGTGGGTCTACTGGACCTTCTGTGATGCTCAGGTAGACACAGGCAAACCTAGTTAGCTGGAGCATAAAGATGGGTCCAAATCTCATTTTGATACTTTTGCACACATGCACACTCCTTGCGGTTTGTCATACCAAGTGGATAAACACATAGATTGCTTCCTGTCTCTCTCAGGGAAGGCTACTAACATACACTGCTGGGTAATACAAATCTACAGCACAAATTTATGGTGGAAAAGTAACCCTGGACCCAAGTTTATGCATGAAGGTGAAGCTGTTTTATCTAGCAGAATTTTTTTTCTTTTTTTTATCTAGCAGAATTTTAAAAATTTGTTTTTTCAGGGCTCGGGATTTAGCTCAGTGGTTTAAGCACCTTCCTGACAAGCATGAGGTCATGAGTTCGATCCCCAGCATCAAAAAGAAAAAAAAAAATTTTTTTTTTTTTGGTGGTACTGGAGATTGAACCCAGAGCCTTTATACTGAACTACATTCCTGCTTGGTTCCTTTTTTTTCCTAAACAAATTGTCAACTTATTTAATTTTCA